ATTATGCATTAATAGATTCTTGTTAGGTTGAACTGTAAAATGTATTATATTACTATAAAAAGGATAATGATTATCTATTTATAAATATTTTTTTATATAATAAATTATTCAAAGAAAATTTAATTTTATATATAAAGATTGATTATTTGAATAATTTCAATATATAAGTATTTCATGATTCATCTAAGTATTAAAAAATTTATACATTATAGGTTATATGTACTTATAAAGCTAGGTGCATTACTTGTGGTGCTTAGGACATGTATATACATTAAGGGTAGAACTGCACTTAAATCACCTTAATTTGTTTGGGTGTATAGACTTAAATATGCATAACTAATTAGAACTCTTCATGCATATTTTGATTATTTCATTCATTTCATTAGTGGACCTACAGAAATTTGGGTTCTCAAGCTAATGATTGAATTTTATGTATGTATGCCTTTACTCTCCAGGACTAGTGAAGCTAGATAGTACTTGGACAATGGATGGTTGAGGCCTATTATGGGAGATTGTTTATTAACATAAAATTGGTGTTTTAAAAAGATTATATGAGAGTTAGTTTTATAAATAGATAAGATTAAAGTGTTGTGTGTGTTACCTCCTTTGAAAATTATATCCTTCTTCTTTGGAAAGTCTTGGTGCATTTTCTTGATCTTTAGCTTGGTGGCTAGGATCAACCCCTCTTTAGTAACAATTTTTGTATAATTAATTCTTCCTACATTTACATTTTTTTAATTTGCATTCTTACATCTCCTTCAAGTTTTTTGGAGTCTTGGTCTAAGTGTTTACAGTTCATTTATCTTATTCTTCTTAATTTAAATATGCTTAAAAACTTATCTCAATCTAACCACCTTATCTTTCTTTAACTCCAAAGACCAAAATTTGAACATCACATGTAATGACCATTTCTACACCAATAAGTGAGACTATGGTGACCTAAATAGAACCTAGTAAGATTTACAAATTCATAATGTACCTACTAGGTCTCTATAAACATTTCAAGTTATTTCATGTTTAATTTGATTTTAAGAAGTTATGATTTAAATTTAGATTATTTAAAATATGTCCAATATGGAATTTCCTAGAAGTGCTGCAAAACTATAATTTTAGGAGATGCAACATAGCCATTTCTATTAGAGGTTTCGTGGCAACCTGGGAGTGCCATGGCACTAAGATGGAAGCTGTACATTGTTGAGCTCTCTATTTTTTATAATGAAAGCTATAATGTTATAAGAGATTTGTTATACATGTGACAACGTACTAGCATTCATGGTAACATGTGCTGAATATTATGACACAAAACATATTTCACTAACATCCATGATGACCAATCCAATTGATATGATCTGACCTCATATCATATATACATGATATCTATAATGATATACTAGTATAAATATGAGGTCATGCATTATTATCAATGGTATGCTAATGTCAATATATACATGTAAGGATATGTCACTATACATGATTATATGAATTGATATACACAATAAGAACTAGTGAAATAAAATTAATATAATATAATGCCCTAAATAGAGTCTAAATTTAATATTATAGTCTTGACCATGAGAGCAATGCATATGATACATGTACATATGATCATATATAATGGTCATGATTTTGATTTCATTGCATATGATCCACGTATAAGGGTAGCATAGAGAAGCATTGATTCAGCACACGATTAAATTTCATAATTCAATTAATGATGGCATGTATGTTATTCTACTTTTTTGCATTGAATACAGTTATAGGTTCTAAATAATCTATTGAGTTGTCCACTCAGTCAGTGTGTTCACATGTTTTAGAGAAAGGGAAGGACCTAATGAAGTAAATTATAGGTGTTATTGTTAGAGGTGTTTTTTTTTTAGTGATGTTATAGTTAAATCCTTTTATAATCATGAGATATGTGTATTATATGAAATGATTGGGAAAACCATGATTATTATAAAAAATATTTTGATATGAATAAATCTAGTATGTGTATATGTTTTTGTATTGAATGATATTTCTATTTTATTTTTGTACATTGATGATTTAGTATATTTGTAATTAATATTAAAGATAAAATGTATCTTTCCAAGTAGATTTTGGATGACTCGTCTGTCATGTATTCGACCTAATATGACCTATCAGGATGTACAAGTTGTGTTAGGTTGCGTCATGATATCACAACTAGCAATAACAAATACTAACAACTTAAGTTATCCACAAAGCACATAAACCCATCATAATTATGTAGATAACCTATTTTTAAACTCCACATAAAATCAACGACCAAAAATTATCCTAAAACCCCACTGTTTCATTGGAAGATCTAGGCCACCCTTAAGTTATGCTTCATAAAGTATTCCACCCCCTAAATCGCTTTCATTAGATTCTTATATATTGCATTACACCAAATAAATAACTCACCAAAATCCCGTATTATTTCATATTCATTATGAAAATGAATCAGGCATATATTGCACTCAATGTATTATTTTTTTATAAGAACTAATATGCATTCTTAATGTTAAGTCTTCTATTTTATTCAATGGATCTCCATTTCATTGTTTAGGAATTATCAATACCTATAACTATGGTAATAAGGGATACTAAAGGGTAGAAAGATCATAATGATTTTGAATACATCATAACCTATTCACAAGATTGAATAACCTAAATCTTTAAATTTTCTTTTTATATATATAAAATTGTTATTATTTTCTCACCTCCTCACATATTATCACAAGTGTGGTTTTTTTCTCAAATTTAATCTATAAACTCATATCTCACGTTCTTATCTTATGTTGGGAGAAAATGAAATTATAATATTCATACCACAAGCTACTTGTGCCAATACTAATGTTGGTGAACTACTAGGTCAACTTAGGGGTAGTACAATCTAATTGTATTTTAATCAAAGGAGTTTATGATTTGCACTACCTATTTTCATAACTACAAGGAAATTTCTTAAAAAGGATTAGCATTTTTCTTATGAAAGCTACATACTATCCCTTACATAGTTTACTTGGAAATATTTTTATGAGCTTTAATGGCTTCCTTAATACTTTAAGATATCATGCAAGGTGTCATTCATACATTAAGACTTGCATAATCATCACTACATCATCACCTACATCATAGTCATTTACTTGCATTACAATTGTCATTAGTTAATAACTATGATGCATCCAAATATAATCCCTAATTATCATTGCATTAAAATACTTCTCATAACCTTTGCTTGAACTAAAGCTCATCACGACAGCAAGACTTGTACCATAAACAATTTCCTTAAGATATATATCACAGTCATCTATCTCCATACCTATAAATAGTTGTCTTATGTAAGATATATACTTTATATGACTCCTACAGGGCATGTATTAGTCTCCCTTGAGACATGTGACATAATCATTTTCCATAAGTCATATGTCATAGTTATCTACCATGTGGAGTACACCATGTCCATATCCCTCGAGAGCAACACCATATCTCTCTTTCAAGATCTTTGTCACACGCATCACCAATCAAATTGAAGGGTGTGGCACACCCAAGAGGTGAATTAGAGTGTCATGAAAAATTTTGAAATTTTTTTCAATGAAAATGAACTAACAACTATGAGATGAGCTAAATAACAAATTTAATAAATCCCTTTTTTAATTTAGAAATTTGAATATGATCTAATAATAAATGTAAACACAATTATTTAGAATAAAATTGAAACTAAATGCTTTTTTTAAGAAAATTAAATAAACATAGAATACACATCATCATCATATATTTTGTATGTAGTTCAATGGAATAAAGTGAGGAAAAAAGATGAAAATTAGATTTATAATAGTTTAGCCTGCCAGCCTACGTTCACTCTCCAATCCTCTACTTGAAAATTCCAATTATGCAACAAAAATGGCTACTTTTCTTGCTTTGATAACAGACTAGTTTAGGTAGCTCAAAAAACTAATTAGACTGTACTCAATGGTGAAATTATCAAAACAATTTAAGTAGCAAGAAGAAGAACTCTTTCTCCCAAATGTTCTCATATACAGCAGCCTTTATATTATTTTAGGTTTATCAAATATATATTTGATAAACCTAAAATTAGTAGCTTGAATTGAAATCCTAAATAATTATTCAATAATAAATTTTGTCATATCATACAATATGATCCTATAATTATATAAATTGAGTGATGTTTAAGAAAATAGTTGCTATTTGATCAAACAGTCTGATCATTATCCATATTTGAAATTAATTCTCTCATATGATATAGAACTCTGAATTACCTAAATTATTTACATCATTATATAGTACCGTATATATACCATACAATACGGTTAGTTCATTTTTTTAAATTCGCCTAATTAATAGGAGCATATGACATTTTTATAATTTCATTATAACTAATCATATTGTCTTATCAGTATCATAGCATCAGGTTTTAAAAATTGAATCGAACAAGCCAGTTTGACCAGTTCAATAATGAACCAGTCTTAAGGCCAATCTGATTCATCTTGAAAACCATTTCTATATCTAACCAGGCTGGACCTTCTAGAACTATTGGTTCAACCGACAAACTAGTGAATCAGTCTTGGCTCCCTTGAATAATTTAATACATTAAGGAAAAAAACATTAAGTAATATTTGTAATTTAAAATTTTAATTTTAATTTAAATTTCTTAATTTTTAATAAAAAATCTCAATTAAATATTTCATATATCTCCATCACTCTATATGAGTTCTTACCTCATCCAAACTCAACTCAAAAAGTAACACTACATTTATATATATATATATAAAGGGAAAAACTCAAAAATAAAATGACAATTTCTAGATTCTTCGGTAGTCTTCTTCTGTCATAATGGCTTTAGATTCTGCGTGCAGATATTTCCTACTTTTTCTCCAAAAAAAAAAATATTTCCTACTTCAGCATAGGTTCAGTGCATCTTCCTCCGCACGTGATGTCCAGTCTTCTATTGATCTTCAAATATATACATTTAATTATTGGATATGGTTTGCATCTTGGAGAACAGGGTTCATGAGAAGTCTTTGTGTGACCCGTTCTTTGAATCCACTCATTCTCTCTTTTTGAATGAAGCTAGTTGTCATAACTTTGCGCTTTCTAATTCTGGTAGGATTTGGGTGAAATGGAATGCTGCGAAGCTGAATTTCATTCCTTCTCGTGTCACCTCTCAGATTATTTCTGGGAATGTTTTTGTTGCTAATCAAGCTCTTTTTCAGCTCTCTGTTATTTATGCTTCCAATAGCACTATTGAACGTAAGGAGCTATGGGAGGACATTGCTCTTGTTAGACCTGTGCCTTCTTTTCCTTGGGCCATAATTGGGGACTTTAATTGTTGTAGATATGCTTCAGAAAAGTTAGGGGGATCCCCCATCACGCAATCTACTCTGATTGACTTCAATAACATGATATTTCATAACAGTCTTTTGGATTTGCATTCGGTTGGGTGTAAATACACTTGGTACAATCAACGTTTGGATAACCCTATTCACATTAAACTGGATCTTGTGCTTGTGAATGAGGGTTGGATGGACGCTTTCTCTGATTCTTTTTGCTCTTTCCAAAGTCCTTCTTACTCGGACCATACTCCTGTTATTCTGCATTCTGGGAATCAAACTAAGGTGCATCACAGATTCTTATTTAAGAACTTCTGGACTAGATTTGAGGCTTTATGGTGTCATCTTCTTGAGGTATTCTCAGCGCCCTGTAATGGTAATCCACTTTCTAGTCTTTACAAAACTTTAAAGCTCTTAAAGACTAGAATAAAAAATGAAGTGTGGGCATCCTCTAGTTGTTTAACTAGGCATCTTGATCATTTACTGTATAACCAAAATCTGCTGTTGGAGAAGTTGCATATTGATCCTAATAACTCTGAGATTATTCTTTCCTACATATCCTGCAATGCTGAATTAGCCCACTTCACCAACTTGCAAGCTTCTTGGATAATTCAAAGGGCTAAGGTCAATTGGCTTAAGTTTGGGGAAGAGGATCTCAAATTTCTCTATGATAGAATCTGTTGTAGAAAGGGGAGCTCCAAATCGGTTGTGAATCTTCTATCCTGTAATCCTACTGTGTCTAGGATTGAGGTGGTCTCTACTATTTCTCAGATTTATCAAAATTTATACAATCCAGCTCTTCTTCCTAATTCGGCTGTTGGGGATTTTCCTGTTGGAACTGCTTTACCTTATTATTTTTTTAGCTCTATTGACTCTAATGTTGAGGATAATGATATTAAGGAGGTTGTTTTTATGGGGGCCTCTAATTCTGCTCCGGGGCCGGATGGGTTCAATTTTCATTTTTATAAATCCTGTTGGCATATTATTGGTCCAGTGGTGTGTAGAGCTGTTAAATCATTTTTTCTAAAAGGGTAAATGCCTAATGGGGTTAAAGCAACAGTTCTTGCGATCATCCCCAAACATAAAAATGCTGTCAATATCTCGGATTACAGGCCGATAGCCCTCTGTAATGTTTTGTATAAAATCATTGCTAAAGTGATTGCTGTTAGAATCAAACCGGTCATGAATTTGATAGTCAAGAATAACCAAGCGGGTTTTGTCAAATCTAGAATTTCCACTGATAACATTTTACTTGCTAGTGATATTCTTTCATGGGAAGGTAAAAGAGGTGGGGGGAATATTTTTTGTGCCAAACTGGACATCAGGAAAGCTTTTGACTCGGTGTCCCGTGAATTTTTGCTTGCAAGGCTATCCCAAAAAGGTTTTCCCAGGAAGTTTGTCAGTTGGATTAAAACATGCATTTCTGATGTTAATTTTCTCTATAGTTCTCAATGGGGCTTTGGAGGGATATTTCCCCTCCACGGTTGGGCTTAGGCAGGGGTGTCCTTTAAGCCCTTACCTTTTCTGTATTGTTATGGATGCGCTTTCCAATCTTCTGGAAGCTAGAAACTTCAAAGGTATTTCCTATGACAACTTCTCTCTCACTCACTTGCTTTACGCTGATGATGTGCTTATTTTTGGGGAGGCTTCTCTTGATAACTGCAACAAGTTGGTTTCTATTTTAAGTGACTTTGCTTATGCTACAGGTCTTCATGTTAATTATGAAAAGTGTGCCATTATGTTCCCCAAGCATCAGAGAAATCAACTTGAGGTTTGCCAAGCTCTTTCTATACATAATATTGTATCCAAAATTACTTATTTGGGGATCCCTTTATCTTTTTACAAGCTTAAAATTGAAGATTACATGCCCCTCATGGATAGTCTTTATAAAAAGTTTAATGGGTGGAAGGCTAATCTTTTGTCTTTTGCTGGAAGATTACAATACCTGAAATTTACTATAAAAACACTATTGCCTACTGGATTCGTGGAGCAATTCTGCCTAAATCAGTGCACAAAATTTATAAAAAAACCAGTTCTAGGTTTTTATTCTTTGGAGACGTCAACTCTACTAAGAAGCTGCACATGGTAGCTTGGGACAAAATTTTCCTGCCTAAATGCAAAGGGGGTTTGGGCTTACCTTCTATAGCTGCTTTACAATTCGCTTATAATTGCTCTGTTATTATCAGGATATATAATAACCCTTCCCCTCTAGCTGATTGGTTTTTCAAAAAATACTCATCTCCTTGGAAGCCTCCTCATGCCTCTGCTTCTAATTTCTGGAAAGCTATCTATAACACGGCCCAGATGGCTAAAGGCTGTTTTAAATTTAAAATCACCCAAAATGCTCCCATTTCTCTTATTTGGGATCACTGGTACAATTGTGGCACTCTTCAAGATTATCTAGGTGGGGATATTCCTGTTAATATGCCTGAATATGTGTTGAAGGATCTCATTTCTCAAAACAACTGGGATCTTCCTGAGGGCTTTCCTCACATTTTGCAGGGTGTTTTAATGAATATTTCTGGTATTGCTTGGGATGGGCCTTGTTTGTTTTGGAAAAATAGTAAAGTTTACAAGTATAAACATTTTTTAGAAGAGTACTTCTCAGATATGTCGTCTTGCTTATGGTATAAAATGGTGTGGCATAAAAGACATGTTCTCAAACACTCAGTTTTCGTTTGGCTTGCATTACATAGGGGGCTAAAGACGGCTGAAGCTCTTCTTCTTAGGAACATTCAGGTTCCTCGCACTTGTAGTTTATGTAATGAGAACGAGGAATCTGTTTCTCACTTATATTTTGAATGTTCTTATTCATTTAACTTTCTGCTTGCTCTCATCCCTGGGATGCACAGCTTCCTTCTCCGGCCCAATATATTGCAGGTTTTTGATTGGTTGAAGGTTGCTTTTAATGGGAATGCTATGGTTTTTAACTTCTATAAACTGGTAGTGTGCTGTGTGATATACTACATATGGAAGGAGAGGAACAATAGGAGATTTGGTAATAAAGTTCTATGCTTTACCTCTCTATTGTTATGCATTAAAAGAGCTATATCTGAGAAGGTGTGGAAATGGGAAAACTCTTTGACACTGCTGGATATGTTCTAAGAGGTTGGCACGTTTCGGTTTTGAAGGCTATGATTTTTATCTGTTGGATGGATTTCGTGTTTTCTGCAGCACGCCAAGTCTGGACAATGATGAAGCTCCCTATGCAGCTCCCTTGGACGGTCTTCGGGCAACCAGGGAAGTGTTCCTTTCGATAATTTTCATGTTATATCTGAGTCCAGACGGTTTAGGCTTGGGAGTATTTTGTTCTCTGCTATTTCTGTTACGTTGTTGGGCTTTAGTTGTTTGATTCCTTTTTGTTAGGTTTCAATTCAGTTATGATCTTTTTTTTTTAGATCAGGTCTATATCTTTTTGAAGCTTGTTCAAGTTTTAGCCGGTTTTTGTAGGCCTTTTTTGCTGTAGGTCTGATGTATTCTTGAGTTTTCAATTTACGGGCTAAGCCCAAAATTTTCCCAAAAAAAAAATACATTTAATTATTAAAATAATTATAAGCATGCATAAACAAAATTATTAGCAGCGTAAAAAATAATATAACTAATAATATTTATGATCATCAAAATCTCAATATACAAGCTTTCAAGCTCATTGAGTTTAACACAAATTAATGTGTATTGAAGGTATCTCATATAAGATATTCAATTAAGTCATATCTTATAAGACCAAACATCAAAGTCATTTTTTAAAAACCTTTCATTACCAATGTACCCCCTAGTCCAATGACTAGGGGTGTCAAAATCGGATTGTGGGTCAGGTTCGGATCGAATTCGAGATTAACCAATTACTATTTGACACAACCTGAACTCGATCCGTTTTTGCAAATAGGTTAGAAAATTTAACCCGGATCCGACCCGTCAGGTATCCGGGTTGATTCGACCTGACACGAAACCACGATTAGCCGCATAGCGAGTGGGAGATGAACGTTGTCGAAGGAGGAAGAAATGTCGTCGAACCAAACGTCGTCGACCCGATATGAAGGAACGTCATCGAACGTCATCGAAGGAGGTGAATGTTGTTGAAGGAGGAAGGAACATTGTTGAATTGAATGTTGTTGACCCGACAGGAACGGCCAGGAAGGACCGAAGGAATGTCGTCGAACCCGGAAGACCGAAGGCCGGAGGAAGAAGCGCAGCTAGGGCTCATGGTCGAAAGAGGAAGTGCGAAAGTGGAATGGATTATTCGCTTATACGTCTAGCGAAACAGGTCAAAATCGGGTTTAAATCGTGTTTTCAGGTTGAGCCGAACCCGACCCAAAATTCAAAACCGATCAAAATGGATGGTTCCTGTTTTGGGATTTTGACCTTTTTTTTTTTTTTGCTATGGAGGTTTCGCTCTCTTGCCAATGCTATTACATGATTTTGCTGATTTCTAACGGGACTTGTTTGCTTCTATTGCTGAATGCAGATATCTGGATTATCTGGTGCCCCCTTGTTTAGAGCTGTTTTTTATGTAGAATGTTGGCTGAGGATGTTGTGCGGCTCGATTGGGTTTTTTTTTTTTTTCTATTTGTTGTAACTTTACTCTTCATGGGCTGCCTTAAGAGAAGTATTCTTTGTTTAGTCTTTTCTTTATTATTATTATTATTATTATTATTATTATTATTATTATTATTTATTATTATTATTATTATTATTATATTTTTTTAGCACTGGGCAATGATGAATATTCCTGGGCAGTGCTAGTCTTTGCCACCAGGTGACATTTATATATTTTTCTCTTTACCAGTTGCTCCTGTCTTGGGCAAATATTATTGAACTGATTATGATTTGTCGCTTTGGTTGGCAATCTATCATTAATTTTGAGCGATGGTGATTTTATATCATCTCCAACCAAGCGGTAAACACTCATATGCAATCGTCTGATCCTTCAATCAAACGTCAAATCTCACGTTTAGATTGATGGAATGTAAAAATAATATATTTCTTAATGATTCTCTTTTATATTGATATTATTTAGAACATATGCATCACCAACCGTTCAGTTAAACATATAGAGGTAAAATATATATTAAACTCCTTCAACCTCAATGCCACTATAAACTCTTATAGTATATCACCATATAAAATTTTTGGAAGAGTAAGTAAAGCATGCATTGTTAAAACCCCCTCTTGATAATTCATTTCTATAAATAGTGACCTCATAAGTGATGTAATTTTTTTTTAAAATATAAAGATAGGATTACAAATTAATATAAAAAAGATGAGATAGAATATACATGAAATATTATTTTTTGTGTTAAAAAACAAAATTCAGTTATAAATGAGTTATTTTATTTTAAAATATTATTATATTTTAGAGTGAAAATTGTATCAATACAATTTTGGCGCGGCCTCCATCCCAAAAAAACATGGAACACTCATTAGAGCTGCAATAGCAAAAGCTTCCAACTGGAAGACCGCGCAAACGGAAATCTTTCAACAATTCTTCCTTGACAACTTATTGAAAATTTTTCCTTATAAACACCAATTAAATTTTACTGGGATACCGAGGGGCTACTGAACAAAACCCATGCCCAAACCGCCGGTCGGCGAAGAATCTTCCATGGAGACTCATCGCCGGAGCTCCGGGGATGAGCTGACGCGGCGTCAGAAGGTGCGTGCGATCTTCGAACGCTTCGATTTGAATGGTGATGGTGGTCTCGACCGCTCCGAATTGGCTGCCCTGGTTGTCGCCGTGAATCCTACTCTCCAGTTCACCAGCGACCAGATCTCCTCCATCATAGACGTGGTGTTCGGATCCTACTCCGATTTCATCGGAGATCTTTCCTCCGGCCTTTCCCTCGACGGCCTCTTTCAAACCTACGCTGATGGCGCTGGCGATCTCGATCGCGATTTCGCCGCTCT